TTAAAACACTCAGGTGTGTGTTATGTATATTATTTTATGTTATATTATTGTTAAAACACTCTCAGGTGTGTGTTTTGTATATTATTTTATGTTATATTATTGTTAAAACACTCTCAGATGTGTGTTTTGTATATTATTTTATGTTATATTATTGTTAAAATACTCTCAGGTGTGTGTTATGTATATCATTTTATATTATATTAATTTTCAGGGGAGTCTGCACGACCCTCGTTTGATGGGAATCATCCCTCGTATCTCCAGAGACATCTTTGATCACATCTACTCTATGGATGAAAACCTGGAGTTTCACATCAAGGTGATGATGTCATCTGTACACTGATGACATCATCAGTCACATCAAACTAAAACCACAAAATATGATGTATTCAAACACTTTATTGTTTAAATTCATCCAGTCTATTATATAGATTTGTCCCGCAGTAAACTGCAATTAAAATAAATATGATACATAAGTCAATATCAACATAAACATAAACACATGACTACACATTGACATTTTTACAAACAAGAAATTATTAAATATTATTAATGTGTTTCATCTCTGCTTTAAGAAATTAATTCACACACTACATATTTCAAACACATTCTTTCTGGAGCTTCTTCTTCTCTTTTATTGCTCTTGTTGAGGTTATTTATGTATTTACATCAGAATTTGTCTTAAAAAGTCAAATCTGATCTGTGATTAGATCCCGCAGAAAATCACAGATATCTTTACAGATATTGCTTCAGCCTCTGGAAAACATGTATAGAATAATAACTAATCATATATAATGTAATATAATTAAATTTTGCATATGTATGTTTCTACATAATGAAACATGTCTCTTTTCTCTGCAGGTCTCTTATTTTGAAATATATCTGGATAAAATCAGAGACTTACTGGACGGTGATGATGATATTTAAAATCTATATTTTTAAACACAAACAATATTGATGAATGAAATTCAGGTGCTGACTGATGTGATTCATGTTTCAGTGTCAAAGACAAACCTGTCGGTCCACGAGGACAAAAACAGGGTTCCTTTTGTGAAGGTATCTTTACTTCCTATAGTACCAGTACTAGAGTATAAGCGCTGCAGCATCAGTACTACAATAACAAATTTTGCTGATGTGTATTTTCTTTCAGGGCTGCACGGAGCGTTTTGTTTCTAGTCCTGATGAAGTGATGGACGTCATTGACGAGGGAAAAGCCAACCGACACGTCGCCGTCACCAGTGAGTCTGGACTTCTACTACTAGTAGTACTACTTCTACTACTACATTACATTACAGACATTTAGCAGACGCTTTTATCCAAAGCGACTTACAATTCAGATTTGGGATGAAGTGTCTTGCTCAAGGACACATCAACATGCGACTAGCGGAGTCTGAGCCGGGGATCGAACCACCGATCCTCTGATTGAAGGACGGCCCTGCTATCCACTTAGCCACAGTCAACTACAGTACTACTACTACTAGTACTATTACTACTACTACTACTACTACTATTATTATTATTACTACTACTACTACTACTGCCACTACTATTACTATTACTACTACTATAACGTATTTACTACAGATATATATAGATTTATAATGTATTTACTATGAACATATGGGTATTCATAACGTATTTCCTATGGTGGTCCTGTGGTAGTACTATGATGTACTTCCTGCGGTGGCCCTGTATTAGTACTATGATGTACTTCCTGCGGTGGACGTGCTGTAGTACTATGCTGTACTTTCTTCTGTTCCTCCTGCAGACATGAACGAGCACAGCTCTCGCAGTCACAGTATTTTTCTGATCAACATCAAGCAGGAGAACATGGAGACGGAGCTCAAACTGTCGGGGAAACTCTACCTGGTGGACCTTGCAGGCAGCGAGAAGGTCACAATGCTTCACCATACTCACTTTATTGATTTATTGATTATTATTGAGTTATTGATCCGAGCTAAATATATCCACTAATAAGATATGTAACTGAAAACGGAGCAGTAATCAATAACAAACACAATATGTGATTATCATTGATGACATCATTACACACTGATTAGTTGATTAATGGATGGGACTATAAAAGAACAGATCATGATGAGTTTCTTATATATATGTATATATATATATATATCAGTGGTGGGTCGTCAGGGCCTGCAAGGCCTTCTCTGCTGGCCTAAACAGAATCACAAAAGTTATAGCTATTTTTTAATTTAATAATTTTTCATAAATACACATGTATTATAATAGTTTTTCCCATTATCTTATGTTCTCATTGCACAGCTACTGTCTTCCTCAGTTGCTCTGCTTCCAGTGCAGCTTGTTTTAAGTAGAGCTTTTATCCAATCAGATCTCACCTCTGTGTCTCTAGGTAAGAAGAGAGGCCCGAGGCCTGCAGACTCACAAGTGAATCCATGTGCAGTTTAAGTGAATGGGGACGATATTGTTGATTGTCATATTCTTCAACCAATCAGATCTTTAGTTTGACATGTTGGGCGTATTCTTTGACGTGTCAGCACCTGCTAGCTGGCCTACAAGTACGTCAGCATTACGTGCAGCTCAGTGTCCATGTACAGCTCTGCCGCGAGGTGCAGATTGTGCTGTGATTGGTCAGTGGGCGAGCACGTGACTATCGTGAAACGAAACTTAACAGCAGAGGCTTAGTTGGGTAGTGAATCACATCACGTGATGCAGCTCAGCCAATCAAATATGGGCATTCTGACTGAGTGAGATGCACCACACACCATGACACGGGGCTGAGACGAGGAAAGACATTGCAGATCAGTACGTACAATGTTCAAGTTGTGAAAGTAAAATTATAAGACGATCTCTTTGGGCCACGACTTGTCATTAAGGAATGATGGTGGGTCCCACAGCCAGACCAACTGAGAACCACTGTCCTCCATGAGCGCAGAAAACATTATATTTTCCTGAATATAAGCTTCTGCATTTTTCAAATGCTCTAGTACTATTCAAACGTATTGTAAGCCTCGTACCGAACGGTTTAATACGTACATAGTTACAGCCTTAGAAACGAATAATAACTGTGGCGCCATCATGTGGTTATAAGGTGGTATTTCAGCTGCAGGGCAACAGTGAAGGCCTAGGTATAAAATGCATGGCC